CCATTCGCGGTGGTTCGCGAATTATGGGACACCCTGTATAAATGACTTGCAATAACCGCGAGGTATAACTTTTGCTTGCGAGATATAATCTTATTTGTCCTTTCTTCAGCGAGTTTGCTGAGTGACATGTTAGCAATTCTTTTGCCTATATCGATTAAGCTGTCCGTTGTTATATTTGGCTTGTTTTGATACTTTGCCTTTACCTGTTCATTATGATTGTTTCGCCCGTTGTCATATATATACATATATTCGATCGCCGACTTTCGTTCTCAATTCGATTTAATATTTTTAAATAAAATTGAAATATAAAATGAATTTTATCGCCACAGTTGAAATAATCTTGAACCCACAAGAGTTTGATGTCAAATAAATAATTTTTGAAACTAAAAAATACTGCAATTAACAGATAATGAATATTATAATACCCATTTTTAATTGTCCTTTTATTACTAGATTATTAAAATTCTGTTTCCAAAATTTCTCGTACTTTTTATTATTTATAAAAAATATCTGTGTGTGTGTGTGTATTAATACTTACTTGTGATGTCAATATATTAAAGATTGTATAGTCCTTGGCTATTATTTTATCACGATTCGACAAGAAGTTTCATTTAAATAATATGTTCACAGTTTTTAATTTTAATTGTCTTTTCATTACTAAGTTATTAAAATTCTGTTTTCCAAAGTTTCTCGTACTTTTTATTATTTATAAAAAATATTTGTATGTATTTTAATACTTACCTGTGATGACAATATATTGAAGGTTGCGTAGTCCTTGGCTATTATTTTATCACGGTTCGATAAGAAGTTTTATTCGAATAATATGTTCACAGTTTTTAATTTTAAGTACACTTGAGGAGGACCAAAATTCATGGTCGAATCGCTGGGTGGTGATTATTAAATATTTATTAGACAGTAGGGGTCGTAAAAATTAATTATCCTTTCAAATATATTAAAATTAAAAATTATTAAAAAATTTATTTAAAAAAAATTATTAATTTAATTTTTACTTATTATTAAGCTGTATTTCTCAAACGTATTAGTATTCTACTATCAGTATATATACAAAATAGAAGTCGAAATAATAATTCGGCTAATTAAAATTATGATCATTTTTATAGCATCAAGCAACTGTCATCGCAAAAATTAACAATTTAACAATTGTAAAATGAATAATAGAAATAATATCAAAAACGTGCGCCAAGCGCGCTCTTGTGTCGTCTAATGATTTGAAAAAGACATCAATACTATATTAAAGTTCTCTATTTGTCTTTTGCTTACAGTGTTTTGCAGACCTAAAATAAATTATTCGACACGATGATATTTTTGCTATTAATTAGCGGAATAATGTATATCGTTGGAACGGCTTCTACTCTTAATCAATCGTCTTTATGCTATCAACCATCAGAATATATAAAACCGATCCATTACGATATCAAGCATATATCAAATAGTGAAGAAAATATTTTCTATGGAGAATATAATATTAGCATAAGTATTCTTAACAAAACGCAAAATATATTAATGAACAACATATATTCAGAAGAATTATATTTTAAAAATATAGTTTTAATTAAAAATTTAGAAAAACATTATGAGAATATTAAATATACAGTTTATAAACCGGCATATGATATTCAAGAAGACATAATTGACCTTTCTTTTAAGGATAAGTTATTACCAGGAAATTACACTTTATATATTAAATATTTTGGTTTTACTGATGAAGTCTTTAAAATTTTCGATGTGAAAGAAAAAACTGCGTAAGTAAATAATATATGTTTATTAAAATCAATGTGCAATGTGCAATTACATGCAACCTTGTAATTATTATAATATATATTATTTTTTATTAAATGTTTCAAAAATTATTATATATCATGCAATTTAAATAAAAAGACTACTAATTCTATACCTTTAATGCATATTATTGCATATTACATTTATTTTTAAATTCCAACATTTTGATGCTTGCTAATAATGTTTTATTAATTTATTAAGTTTAACAAAATAATATAAATTTATATATCATAAGCCAATCGCGGATTGCGTTATCCTAATAAAGAATTAAATACCTGTGCACTTTACTATAAAATTGAATAATCTATAATTCCATGTATCTATTAAATGCATATTAATTAACATATTACATATTAGAATTCTATATTTTTCTCTGTTATAATATCAAACGCCTTTAACATGTATTGAGTGCTCTGCATGAAATTAAATCTCTTGTAGAGATTATTCCAATTTTATATTTAAGTAAAATTTGTGCCTTGTGCACAGTATTTAATTCTAACGAAAAAATTTAGTTTCGTTTAGGATAGATTTGGCTCTTATTGCCTGTCTTATATATGTTAAATTTATATATTAATTTATGTTTTTTGAAATGTATAGTTTGGTAGCTGCTACTCATTTGCATATAATAGGCACCCGACAAATGTCATCGTGTTGGGATGAAAAGTATTTATTCTTAAGAGCAACTTTTAACATATCTATAGGATGTAATCAATGCACGGCTTTGTCAAATATGCCATTGCAAAATACAGAAAAAAACAAGCACAATATGTTAATGAAACGCTTCGATATCACACCTGCAATGTCGCCGTATCTTGCAACAATAATTGTATCCAATTACTTATCACGTGTTGATAATAATACTCAACATATTCAAATGTGGTGCAGAAACGAATCTGTATTTCACATGGAATTTGCAAAGAATGTAGCTGAAAATATTACGTTGTTCTATAAAAATACATGGAAACAACATTCGAACAATATTTCGAAAATGACTCATGTTGCAATACCAAATTTCCCTGATAATGGCATAATAGTTTACGGACTTGTTTTGTATAAGTGAGTACAAGTACTTAATTTTACATCAAAAGTAAAATTATATATTAGTATGCAAAATTATACAATTGAAAAACATGTAGGTATATCTTTTGTTTCTGTAAATGTGCAAAAGTATAAAATATTGTGAAAACAACAATTTTAAGTAGTATAAATTCAGTTTATTCGTACTTTATAATTCAAAATGTTGTAGTTTATTGTTCTAATATATACATACATAAAGGTAAAAATTTTTATACTATATCGTATAATCCCCTAAGGTAAATTTTAAAATTGTAATAAAGCCATAAAAGAAATAACATTTTTTTATTTATTAAAACTAAAGTTCTTCATCAATGATTTACGCATTAACACAAAATCATTGTTCTATACTTAAATAAAAAATTTCAAAAAATATTATTTGTTACGATTTACAATACCAATTTGCTAATTGAAATTTTATTATGTACAAGAGTTCTCAGTCTAACATTTAAATATTACTTTTAGCGAAAAGGATATTGTTTACAATAAAAATTTGTATCCTATTGCTCACAAAATCGAAATAGCTCAATTAGTAGGACATAAAGTGACACAGCAATGGTTTTATAATCTAAACAATCCGTTTCGATCGGCTTCTTGGTTCAATAAAGCTCTTACTACATTGCTTGCAACGAATACTGTCAATAAGGTTATTTTAAATAATTTGTAATGCTATCACCTCCCACTTTCTCGGAAACGATAACATACTTAAGCATTTATATAGCAAGATTTTTGTATATCAAATTCTTTTTACAAAATGTATAAATTCTTTTTAACAATATATACATATGTATACAATATTAAACAATATATACATATGTATACAATATATTAAACTGTTTTTTAAACATACTTTTTCAAATATATACATTCATATGAAAATAATGAAAAGTATGAAAACTTTTTTTATATTTTAACATCATTTTATCTGATATTATTATACTAGCTTTTCGGTTCGCTCTTCACGCGGGCCTCAAAGCCTTCACTCAACACTGATTCCGCTCTTACTAGTTTTCACACAATTTTTTATTTTACAAAACCAAAGATATATAATATTTAGTTATACTTTATTTAATATATATCTATTTGTCTGTCCATCTGTTCGTCTGTCTGTCGTCGTCACCCCAAAAATTTTCATGAATTTGATACCGAAAATAAATCAATATATGTGTGAGTGCGTGGGTAGAAGTTTTACATACGAATTTTTTTTAAATGTGATTTCTCGATATTTTGGAACATTTCGAACACATTGCCATAGAAATTTGCAAAATATTTTTTCGCGGAAACATACCCTTCTCTATGTTAAAAAAATTTTTAAATTAAAAAATCACCATCTCATCACACTCCCCAAAAAATTTGCAACTTGTATATATAAATATAAGTAGATATCCAATTTCGCGAAAATTAATCAATAAATATATGTATGCGTGTGTGGATACGTATGTAGTAGTGTAAAAAAAAAAACACTTAGTAGCGATTTCCGAAAATATGCGAAATTTTGGTACCAATTTCGAGAAAATCGGTGAATAAATATGTGAATGCGTGTGTAGATGCGTGGGTGGAATAAAACTTAAAAAAACCACACAGTAGCTTTCTCAGAAAAATTTGCAACATTTTGATACCAATTTTTAAAAAATCGGTCCTTAAATATGCGATTACGACGGTGGGTGCGTGAGTGGAGGCGTAAAACTTACAAAAAATCACCATCGTCACACACCCCGGAAAATTTGCAAAATTTTGGTACCAATTTGATGAAAATCAGTCCACAAATGTGGAAGCAGTTCGCGGTTGGACAGACAGACAGACAAACAAAGAGACGGACGGTACATATACATACAGATTTTTATAAAATCTAAAATAACTTAAATTAATCAGAAACAATTATATCCGATATTTATTTTACTTAATTTGATAAAAAGAACTCTGCGATATAATATATCATGAAATAATAATTTTAAAAGTATGTAATATTTGATAATTATATTGATACAAAATTTATATTATTCCTTTTTAACATAAAAGAACCGCTAATGATATTAGTATTTCCTTCTAATGCATGTATTTTCAGAGCGTTTATATTGATATATTAATTATATTTTTTCTTTAGATGTATCGAGATAATCGAATAATACATTTATTTGTCGTTCAAAATCAACATACTTCTTTTTATTTTGATGATTATCGTATGTGGGATTCTACTTCACAAAATGACAGTTTATTGAAAATTCGCGAATCCATCAAAGGTATATAACGTAATATAATAAAATAATCCGCGTAAATTTTGAACTATTAATATTATAAAAATATATGTTTAAAATTATAAGATAATTAATTTTCTATCTAAATTTTATTACAAAATAATGTTATTAAAGTACACACACACATATTTATGTACATTCTATAATTAATTTAAGGTATATAAATATACGTATATATATATATATATATACGTATATTTATATACCTTAAATTAATTATAGAATGTACATAAATATATATATATATATATATATATATATATATATATATACATACTAGCTTTTCGGACCGCGCGAAGCGCGGTCCTCATATAGCCTATATTAAATTCGTTTCAACACAAAAAATAATTCTTTTTTTGTATTATCGCAAACTACTTCCACATTTGTTGTCCGACTTTCACGAAATTTATATCAAAATAAATGTTTAAATTTTTTTGGGTGGGTGCGTGGGTGGATAAATAAAGTGATATAAATTTGTTAAAATCATATAGTAGCCATCCCGGACAAAATTTGAGTACAAATTTCGAAAAAGTCTGTGAATAAATGTTTGAATGCGTGGGTGGATGCATGGATGGGATAAAACTTAAAATAACCACACAGCAGCTTTCTCAGATAAATTTGCAACATTTTTGTACCAATTTCGTGAAAATTGGTCCATAAATGCGCATGCGTGTGGGTGAATGCGTGGGTGGAGGTATAACACTTGAAAAAACCACATCGTCGCTATCTCCAAAAAATTTGCAACATTTTGATACAATGTGTTCAGAAATATTGCAAAAAAAATTTTTTTTGCAAAAACATACCCTCCTCTGAGGAAAAAAAATAAAAATAAAAAAATTAAAAAAAAAACCCACAGCAGCCACCCCCGAAAATTTGCAACATTTTGGTACCAATTTCGAGACAATCGGTCCACAAATGCGGAAGTAGTTCGGGTACAGACAGACAGACAGACAGACGGACGGTGCTTATATATATAGATTGATATATATAAATTTTTTGAATAAAATGATAAACCGTGCGGCAATAGAAGACATTTCACTGTTTTGCAATTACTGTACCTTGTATATATATAATTTTGCCTTATAATATATAATATCACTTTACATGTAACTATTATAATAAATATATATTTATAATATATCTAATTTATAATTTTGATGTAAATTGTAGCACCCTGTATACTGCGCATGATGCAACACGCCGTAACCAAAGAAATATTTTGGAAAGGCATTCGATCATATGCAAATAGCAAGTGAGTATTACAATATAAAATATAAAATAAAAAAATAAAATTATATAAATCTTAACTAATTTATAATAATACAAATTTTACATATTGTCTTTTATTATTTCGTTTTTGCTGACATTATTTCATATTATATTTTTTTAATTTTACAATTCTGCTATTTTCCTAGATCTGTTACTAGATTTACCTTTACTTTCGTTATTTTTACTATGAAAACCGCTTTTGTTGAAACAAATTGTTGTTTTATGACTTTTTATATATACATATTTAATGTTGTTTTATTTTCGTTTCATAATTTATTATATTTCAAAATAATTTTTAAATTAATTTGTATTCTTTTTATTATTTCCTTTATTACTTCATATCGTTTATAATTATTTTTTAATATCTACTTTTTTTAATTGCATTTTGTGCTACGTTTGTTTTTTAATCCTATTTTAAATAAATCTGACACGTATATCTTTTTTCCGTTATTTTTTTATTTTTATTTTATTTCTTTTGTAGAACGATCACCTTTATTATATTTGTATATTATTTCTTGTTTTGTTTTTATTTTTATTTGATTTGTTTTGTTATTTCTTTTATTAATCATTTTATAACTCTCTCAATACTTTGATCAAATATAATCTGTATTATTAATGCCTAACAAATTAAATAAAATTATTAAATTTTATTTAATATAATGTATTATCATAATATAAATAAAGGTGCAATTAAATTTTGCTTCTTAGTATTTATTAAAATTGTTTTTAATATTAAAATTATACATACAATTTTAACATATTTATAATGTTTTTTTGCATAATTTACATACATTGTGGATTTAGCCTATTTCATCGTCAAAGTTTTATGACTTTTTTGGAAGAAGTTGTTGCTGATGCAAAAAATATAGATATTGAAATATCATTACAAACAATGAAATATTGGATTTTGGAAGAACATTGTCCTCTCATTAAAGTAGTACAAAATTATACTAGTTCTCGAAGCCATTATAATATATGGATACAAAATTTCTACATATTAAAAATTGATTGCGTTCCTGTAACTTATACTATCCAGTCGGTTCCCGATTTTGACAGTTCGATGAACCGCCTTTTATGCAAATCAAATGATATAGTTCTTAATTTCCCACATAAAGAGCGTGGTTGGATTATAGTAAATGTACAACAAATAGGTAAATATCGACCAATGGACTTATTATGACTTATTACTCGTCTTTATTTTACACACGTACACAATTAACATTATTTTATATTTTTTGTGTTTTATACATTATTAGATATAAATCTGAGATATTCATTATATAACTACTATAGTTTTAAATGTTTTGTGTAATGTTCTGCTGTATTATTATATATAATTAATAAGATATATATCGGCGTTTTCTACATAATATCAATCAATATTACAGTTATATTTTTACAAATATTTTATTCTAATAATAATAAAAATGATTAAAACGTTAATTATATTTATAAAATTAGTATACTAATATAAGTATACAAGTGAAAAAAAATTTTTGTACAGTTTTATGTTACAGAACTTTTGCTGATTAGTATAAAATAATTATTATATATGCACAACTAGAATCAATTTTATTTTATGCTATACAACAATATCTCGCACAATTTCATTTATAATTTATAATTAATTTTCAATATGTATTTGCATGTTATTGAATTTTTGATACGTTTTTAATTTATAATTTATATAAACAAAACTATTAAACAAAAATGTTTGAAATTAAATGTATATTAATAATAAAAATTATTCAAAATAATATAAATTGTTAAAATTTATTTATTATTCGACAGGATATTACCGCGTTAACTATGATGATGAGAATTGGCAAAGAATTTCAAATTATCTAAACTCTGATAATTTTACGAAAATTCATGTTCTTAATCGTGCCCAAATTATCGATGATGCATTTCATTTAGTGATAGCAGGTCACCTCAACGCCTCTATATTCTGGAATATCACATCGTATTTGGGTCAAGAAGAAGATTATATCGCATGGTATCCTATGTTTAAAGCTTTGGAATACATGTTTAGTACTTTTCCAGTGAAAGTAGAAACTGAAAAATTTGGGGTAAATATTAATCAATTTCAATGAAAGTATTACATTTAAATATTTATATATACACTGATTGATCACAAATAATTTAAATATTTATAGAGAAATATATCTAGCGATAAAGTTTTACATATTATTACGTCTCACATAAATGTGCAAACAAATTCAGTTTGAATAATCACTCACGCGATGAACAGTTCCCAAACTGTATGATTTTCACTAATGTGAATAATGATATTATATAACATTGTTATTGGATACATAGCTGGATGCTTAAAATCTTTGTCAATGAATTATAATTATAAACATATTATTATAATAAAGAAATATATATTTAATGATTTTTAGGATAGAATAGATAAGCTAAAATTCATGTTAAACGAGTTACTTGAAAAAATCAAATATGAAGAAATTGATGATGCAGACGAACTTAGAATATGTTTACGACAAGAAGCTGCAAGATGGGCATGTTTTTTTGGTCACATCATTTGTATGAGAGAAGCAGAAAATAAATTAGAACAACATCTCCAAGATCCTATAAATTACAGGTAAATTATGTTACAGATTTTTAGTTTTTCTCAATCAAATTTTCTTGTAGATATCTCCTATAATGTTCAATGAGTTAATACGCCAATCTTTAATAAGAAAATTAAATTCTATTTATATTTTAGACTTTTGCCATGGTGGAAGACATGGACATATTGTAGAGGTTTGATGATAACTACGAGATATGCGAAAACTTTTGGAACAGTGTATACTAGAGGATTGAACAAAACTGACATTAAATTTTCAGAATATTTGGCTTGCATTGAAGATACTGAGTTAATCAAAATGTATTTAACAACAATAGATAAACAGCGCACTGATACAAAACAGGAAGATCAATTTCTCGTTAACACATTCTTACATTTTATTACGAAGCATGCGAAAAATCCAATTATATTGACGTATATATTAATAATTTTCACAAAATAAAACCAAGTAAAGTAACATATTTTTATAAATATTTTGTACAAAAGTTTATTATATGTATTATATATATACATCTGATTTTTTTTGTTTTTAGAAATGTTAATATAATTGCAGCATTAATTATTATGATTAATAACGTATATTCCGAAAATTTAGCTCTGGTAAAAATTTTACATGTTTAAATATGTATACAAAATATGATAATAATGCGATATTAATAATTATTATTTAATATTTAAAATAATTTTTATAATGTTACCATAACGTTGTTTATTAATAATGGTATTAAAATTACACATTTTAGTCAATAGAGAGACACTCTGAAAATATTGTAGAAGCTAACGTAATTGAAGTGAACACAGAAGATCAATTTAGAAAACATCGAATAAAGGAGGTAAATTTAATATATATATATATATTATTATATATGGAAAACGAAAGAAAATGAAATATTGTTTTACCTGATTAATTTCAGAATATTATTTTTATATTTGTTTATTTGTTATATAATCAGTATGTTGATTTCATTATGACAATCTTTGTTTATATATACTAAGATTTGCATATAATGCGGAATGAGATTACTATATTTATCTAATTATATTATAATCAATAAAACGATTTGTTTTAGATGAGTAACCGTGTGATAGATAAAGATGACTTATATTCCTATATTATAATCAAGGTTGAAGTTATTCGCAAAAAACAAATCGAGAAGCAGAGACAATATTTTGCAAGATTTTTCTTCTAATCGATGGATGTAAAAAAATTGCAGCTTTGCATACGTGGAAGTACTTTATATAATTTTTTTATATTGCATCTATTCCTTTTACTGCTTTAAATATTGTTTATTTAGATGTATTATTATCCGATGCCTTTTTATATGTACAAAATATCATAACTGCATGCATCAAGATTTATATGTTTATGCGATCTTGTTTGAAGTAGTAGAATTATATATTATTGTGCAACCGGCGCGCGGAAAATCGCCCTTTACGCACATGATGAGATTTTAGAAAGGGCTCTTTTTCCACGCACCGGTCACACAAAATATTGTAGCCAACATGTGCGGGTCGTAACTCGGTTTCGCCTCGTGCGCCAAACTTCCGCACTCTCGACCGATTTATGATCTCCCGCACTTGTTAGCTAATATACTATTACAGAAATTAATTATTTTATATATTTATTGTTATTAATTATGAAGAATTTGTGATTGATTAGTATTTTTTAATTTACAATAAATAACATGACACAATTCTCTTTCTCTTTCTCTCTCTCTCTCTCTCTCTCTCTCTCTCTCTCTCTCTCTCTCTCTTGTAACGTAAATCTACATTTTAATTTTAAAAAGTTATTTAAATAAAATATTAATATTAATATTAATATTTATATTTATAAAATTATATCCATAACTTTAAAATTGTACAACATAATTTAACATTCCTTGCTGATATTTTTAATAGATTTAAAAATACTGCAAAATGTGTCAAACTGAATTGTAACTTATAATTGTATTTAAAAAAGATTTAAGCAAAGCTAGCAAAGAAGAAATATATTAAAACGTTTGTCACAAGTTGATGTTTACAATAAGTGCGCGTTTAACATGTGCTTCTTCCAATCAACGCGGTGAATTTTAATATTAAAAAATTATTATATTATTTTATTTGGCTTTCTATTATTTCGTTTCTTACTATTCTTAATGATAAATGTCGAATCTCTTTTAGCAAAATTAAAATAATGTTACAATGTTGCAACATGAACAAAAAATTCGAAAAAGGACGGAAAACAATTAAAATATTTAAAAACCTTTCTGTAGTTCATCGATTAGAATATGAAAACGGAGCTATACTATGTAATATACGCACATATTTACGTATACTTAATTCAAGATTCGTAATATTCAAATAATTTTTGACCCATAAAAATTTATCGAATAAAATGCTTTTAAAATTGAAAAATATTATAATTTACACATAAAAGAAAATAAATATTAGACTAAACACATGTCTGTGTGTGTAAATTTGTAGTATGCATTTTTAATAGATATTTATGATTGATTTAATACTTTAATTGATATTTGATTAATTGTGACACTTAACATATAATACTGTAAAAAAGAAGAATCAATTATTAATTACTTCAAACATTTAAATAAGAATTAATGATAATTTAATTTAATTTTTACTTATATAATTAAAACTAATTTAATGTTTTACATATTGCCAAAAATAAAAAATTGACAAGTATAAAAGAGTATCACTGCATTGGAAATATTATTAAATTAAAAACATTTTTATTTTATACTGCTATATAAATCATTATATGATACAAATAAATATTTATTATTAGTTATATATATATGTGTGTGTCGATGAATTTTAATATTAAAGAATTATCTTATTATTTCATTTGCTTCTGCATTATGTATCGTTCCTTACTATTCGCAATGATAAATGTGGAACCTTTTTTAGCAAAATAAATTTTGTACACAACGGTGTTGCAACACGAACAACAAATTCGAAAAATTTAAATTTTCTTAAAATCTTTCTATGGCTAATCGATTAGAATATGAAAAGGAAGCTACTATGTGTAATATACGCTTATATTTACATATAATTAATTCAAGATTCGTAATATTGAAATAATTTTCGACCCAAAAAAATTAATCGAATAAAATGCCTTAAAACTAAAAATGTTATAATTTCCACATATTTTTATTATAATTTTATTATAAAACAATTTTTATTATAAATAAATGTTGAGATCGAAAAGTCACGATTTATATTTAAAATTGTATTTTATTTTGGCTTTATATTCACAGTCTGTTTATTTAGTATATATATAATTTGAAAAAAAGTAAAATAAATTTTGAAAAATATTTTCAAAAACTCCTATTTAAATACTAGTGACTGTCATTAATAATTGAAAATTTATGTTGTATTAACTTTTTACAAAAATGTTATATGAAGATAATAATTTTATTAGTTATAAATTTTTATGGATTTGCGCATAGAGTACGATGTCATAAACAAAGTATTAAAATTTTAAAATTAGATAAAATTAATATAAAAAGACGAAAACATAGTACATATCGCGATTAATAAAAAATCGATTATAATATTTACGATATTATGATATATATTTATACATACAGGAGTAAGTACAGTATAAAGACACAATATTGTACATAAAGACATGTATAATTAAATGTATGTTTTTAACAAAAAAATATAAAGTGTCCCATTTTAAAATAAATATTGTTGTAATTTCATAACCAAGGTTTCTCTTTCGAAAAATATATTTTATACATTATTTATAGAATTTGAAAAAAGCGCGTCGCGTCGTAAGTATATGGTCTTATTTTAGATGGAACATTGTTGAGATTTGATAGGTATCATTATTTTTTAAACGTTTTATGTTCTTTTCTGACACAAATATGAAACATCTTGTAATGTATTTATCTTCCAATATTATTTTATCTAAATAAACGTCTGCACAAAACAATGTGAATAAATTGATTGGTATAAGAAAGACATTCCATTGATTTAAAAAAATTGCAATTTATAAAAATGTGCAACTGCATACATTTATATTAAATAATGACATATTTATACTAATTGAATTATTAAGATAAAATTATCGAAGGATGAGTATATGACGAGAAATTACACAATATTTTTAGCAAAAATGTTTGTTGAAATAAGTCATATAAATGTGTATAAACAATGCCTAATAATTTGATTAATTAGGCAAAAGATAAATGTGCTAAATTAAATCAACCGTTACACACAAATGCCGCCATACACCCAAATATATATATATATATATATAACGACCTTAGAAGTTTTGTTGATTTAACACATCATATTTAGCATGAAGAGACGAACAGAGAATCAGTCAGTCTTTCGTGGCCTTTCAAATCACGTCGCCGTAGATATAATACTTTTATTAAAGTGTGTGAATATATTATATTCTTCCAACATTGAATACTTTTAAAGCATTATTTGCTGTAGTTCATTTTTAACACGATATATAACTTTCCAATTAACATTCTGTTTCGAAATATTCGGTAAGTCAGAAGAACTTTCATACATATAAAACATGAGTCCACAAATGCAAAAAATTTAATTATACGGTAGGACGGAATTTTATAGAATTTCCAACATATGTATGAGAATAAAGAAAATAGTTTTATTTAAAAGTATTTGTAAATTTTAATTTAGAGATAATTTAAAATAATATCGATTATATAATATTTTACGAATTGTATGTTGTTTGGCAAATTATTAGTTTTATTAGTTGAAATGTTGAAATAAATTTAGAGACGTTATATTATTGTTATTCACTTTAATTCAGCATTTAAAATATTATACAGGGTGTCCCATAATTCGCGAACCACCGAAAATGGGCAGATAGAGCGTGTTAAACTGAATAGAAAAGTCCTGTATCATTTTGCGATATTCGCAATAATTATTGAGTTATTAACTAAAATATCTAAACGAGCGGGTAGAAAGCGGTAGGCCGGACTCGGTGTGCATGTCGGATGACTTATTTGTTATATGCCGCTCAGTATCAAAAGAATCATCTTACTTTTCGGCGCCACTACATTACTCGCCGCTCGCTGCATGACGCCGCCTCTCGATCAAATAATGCTTTCTACCTGCTTATTCGTTTAGATATTTTAATAAATAACTCAATAATTATTGCGAATATCGCAAAATGATACAAGACATTTCTATTCAGTTTAACACGCTCTATCTGCCCATTCGCGGTGGTTCGCGAATTATGGGACACCCTGTATAAATGACTTGCAATAACCGCGAGGTATAACTTTTGCTTGCGAGATATAATCTTATTTGTCCTTTCTTCAGCGAGTTTGCTGAGTGACATGTTAGCAATTCTTTTGCCTATATCGATTAAGCTGTCCGTTGTTATATTTTGCTTGTTTCGATACTTTGCCTTTACCTGTTCATTATGATTGTTTCGCTCGTTGTCATATATATACATATATTCGATCGCCGACTTTCGTTCTCAATTCGATTTAATATTTTTAAATAAAATTGAAATATAAAATGAATTTTATCGCCACAGTTGAAATAATCTTGAACCCACAAGAGTTTGATGTCAAATAAATAATTTTTGAAACTAAAAAATACTGCAATTAACAGATAATGAATATTATAATACCCACTTTTAATTGTCCTTTTATTACTAGATTATTAAAATTCTGTTTCCAAAATTTCTCGTACTTTTTATTATTTATAAAAAATATCTGTGTGTATTTTAATACTTACTTGTGATGTCAATATATTAAATTGTATAGTCCTTGGCTATTATTTTATCACGGTTCGATAAGAAGTTTTATTCGAATAATATGTTCACAATTTTTAATTTTAAGTACACTTGAGAATGACCAAAATTCATGGTCGAATCGCTGGGTGGTGATTATTAAATATTTATTAGACAGTAATGGTCGTAAAAATTAATTATCCTTTCAAATATATTAAAATTAAAAATTATTAAAAAATTTATTAAAAAAAAATTATTAATTTAATTTTTACTTATTATTAAGCTGTATTTCTCAAACGTATTAGTATTCTACTATTAGTATATATACAAAATAGAAGTCAAAATAATAATTCGGCTAATTAAAATTATGATCATTTTTATAGCATCAAGCAACTGTCATCGTAAAAATTAACAATTTGACAATTGTAAAATGAATAATAAAAACAATATCAAAAATGTGCGCCAAGCGTGCTCTTGTGTCGTCTAGTAATTTGAAAAAGACATCAATACTATATTAAAGTTCTCTATTTGTCTTTTGCTTACAGTGTGTTTTGCAGACCTAAAATAAATTATTCGACACGATGATATTTTTACTATTAATTAGCGGAATAATGTATATCGTTGGAACGGCTTCTACTCTTAATCAATCGTCTTTATGCTATCAACCATCAGAATATATAAAACCGATCCATTACGATATCAAGCATATATC